TCGGCTTACGTGAATTCCTCTGCAGATAAAGTAGCAGATGACCTTTGGAAGGCTTGATAAAATCTCTTAGATCGTATTAAACCGAGTTCTAGGAAGCCAAAAAGTTCAAGCTGAGACTTTTTATTTTCGATTGTTGCCGAGTTTCCGTCGCTGTGAGCTGTGTGTCGCGAGTTGAAAATTTCCCGCAGGCTGCCTATCAACTGAAAATTGAACGAATGCTTAAGACAATAATTCTGGGAAAGGGTGAATCCTCTTACATCGCGCACACTGTCATCCGTGTCCATTTTCAAAATGTTAAGCAGCAGCCTGATGAGATGTGGCAAGGTCTAAAATAAAGAGAGTTTTCATAAAATTAAGATAAGCAGTAAGTTTATCCAGTTACCGTATCGGGACAGTGGCCACTTGTGGTAAACTCCAAAATGCGCAGCCTTAACTTTGACTGCGTTCTGTCTGAAAGCGATAAATTGCTCAGGGTTTGCACAGTGATCATGTGAAAGAGGTCTTCGGTGCTGGAATAGTTAATGCTAAAAAACGAAACTTTGTACTTTAACAAAACGAATTCGATGGCATATCATTCCTTTTACTCACTTGAGTAGCTCAACAAACTCATCGTGCATACTGGCATCCAGTATTAACTCGGCATTGGCTATGATGTCCAGCTTGGCCGATTCAGTAGCCCTGTTGAAGATGCCCTCGATGCGGCTGTAGATCTCTACCTTGTGCGAAGCGGTCAGGTAGCGCAGTTGGGTCAGCATCAGGGGCAGCAGAGGCATGGAAATGGCTGCCCGGCCTGAAAGGACTCGATCCGCAGTGGCCACCTCCTCTATCTTGTTCAGCAGCACATCCACGCAGGAATCCCGCATAAAGTCGATCATCAGGAAGTTCATGAACATGCTGTTCTGCGACTGGTAGATCTGCTCCTCGCCAGCAGCGTCCACGGTGCAGCCGGTTAGGAGCTTCTGCACCAGCTTGGAACTGGGTGCCATGGCTGCATTCAGTCCCGTCTTGAAGGTCTCCATCTTATCGGTGTACGAGGAGGCGCTCGTGAAGATGTCCCGCAGCTTGGAGACAATGGATACATGATCGCAGGCCAGAACCAGGCTGTCGCCCTGGTCCAACTGTACGCCAGCTCGGATCAGGACCAGTTCGAAGAAGTTGTTGGGCTGCCGGGAAAGCGTCGCGATGTTCCGGCTGGAGGATTGAGTGCGACCCAGAGTGGCGGCCAGAATCGCACTGTGCTGCGACAGAAAACGCTGCGTGTGCTCCTGCGAGGCGGGTATGTTCTCCTCGCTCCCGGCGGATGTGGATTCCACGGAAACATTCGTGGTCGTCTCCGCCAGGCGCTGGAATATACATTTTGATCGCAGTAGTTCAGAGTTCCCCCATGGAAGTCTCAAAATATCCACTCACAGGCACTTTCATGGTCGCATTCTCATCGATCGTGTTTAGAGCCTTCTGCGTGCGTTTCTTAAACTTCTTATACATAGTGAACAATAAACTTTACACGCTAAAACCACCAAAACAAACGAAATTAAAACAAAACAAATTCCTGGCGCGTTAACTAGTATAGAAGCGTTGTTATCGATGTTATCGATTTCTCGCGGCTGCGGTTGATGTACTCGCTAAGTCTGGTGGGAGATGCGGATAAATATCGATAATGAGAAACCGATTAAATATACAACGATTTATTTCGAAATATATTTTTCTTATCGTTTTTTGAAAGCGGTAAATGAATTTGAAAAGCCAACATTTATTTACCGCGCTAATTCCCAAGTAAATTGAATGCTCTTTATGGAAATTCAAATTTTTATTCAAACATACTCTACATAATGCGTACAAAACTATTATTGTATTTCTATATGTATATAACTTTTAATCATATGTGATGAGTATAAAATGTTCAACTATGCGATTGCTTAATTTTAGGATCGATCCGGAAGCATGTTCCATAAATTGTTAATCGTATATATAATGGAAAAGTCCAACGTAACACTAAATAAAATGATTTTAAACTTATTTGTTAATTTAAAGCCTTTCGATTTGAATTGTTTAACTTGGGTGCTAACTCTGATAATTTTGAATAGTTCCTAATATCGATTTTCAACTTTTAAAAGTGCAAAAAACTCTATTGTGCTATACATTTTTAAATGTATATAAATATGGTTTATAAAAAGGAAGTACAACATATGTCTTGAAGTGATTATGCCTGAAATTGACTTATTCCGGGACTACCGGGTCCCCTTCGTACCTAGGTCATAGAAAATCACTAATTTGGCGTTGTTTTCAGTATTGCTATTGAGTATATAATGATGAACTTGATGCCATTTCTATCACACCAATGCAGTCCAAAGCGGAAAATTTGCGATTCCTTCACAATACTGTGCTGCTGGAAACTAGTAGGGTTTCCTGTCATTGCTTTTAATTTTTCTCAAACATCCACTTATTGTTTTTTCGCACGTCGTCTTTTGTAGCCAGTCATCTGCTTAAGAAGCTGAGAGTTCTCGTCATCGAGATCCATATTTGGCTCCCAGAGCCGCAGTCGTTTGGGTATATAGATTAGCCCCAGTAGAGTTATAGCTAGATTGAAGGATGATTGTGAGATATTATAATCTTATTATTGATATATGGTTCCTATTTTTTTAATATTTTAATTCAATGATATTGTTATAGCTCATGGTTTAAGGGTTTCTGAATGTCTACTCACAATTTAGCACGCAAGGGAAGATCACGTAAAAGTTGATGGTACTTGAGCGAAAGTAGAGAGCCTCGGTGGCGTAGAAGACCATAGTTAGGGCCAAGGAGCAGCCGCCCATGCTGACGACCCTTTTATAGGAAAATAACTTTATTATTATTAAATATTCGGAACCTTTTGGGCACCACTTACGGTCTGTAGTGTATGTAGAGGGTGCAGTGGACCAGAGCGATAGCCTTGAGCAGGCAGTACATTCCGATAATGCGTGATATGGTGTAGTCACCTGTGAAAATAGCCGTAATATAGGATTTTAGCGATACTTTGCCTTCAGGTACTTACCCTCTATAAACTGCGTGTCACTGTGGTCGCCGAGGAAGCTGCGTCTTTCTATATAGCTACGGAACGCCGTGCCCAAGTCCATGAAGGCGACAAATGCTATCCATCCCCGGAATGCGTAAAGCAGGCGCTCGCGGGGTCGTCCTCCAGACTGCATGGCAGCCCTAGTGATCCCAAAATTAAATATAATGTATAAATGAAAAGTATTAATATTAATGGAGTGATATGATCCTATAATAAATAGTTAGTTCACTTAAAGAAATAATAAAAAATAAGTTGTTAACCTCTTAAACCAAGTATTTATAAAATAAGGGTTCATTTCATCGTAAAAAATGTGTAATGACTGAATATCTTCGTCTCGTAAAATTATTATTATTATTCTAATTATATCTAGCAGCATATCACAATCTCATTTCTTGGTCTAATTATGGCTAGAACATTATAATGAAAATTCAATTGCAAACTATTTAATATTGTTAATAATTTTTGTTATATTTTTAGGATCAAGGTTGTACCTTACATATGTATAATGCATAATTTCTTTGACCTCAAAAGGCATTCCCACTCAATCAAAACTGACGGTTATGATGATATAGTGTTAGAAACAAGTCATTTGGATATTACAAAGCCATTAGAGTCAACGTATTGCGTGTGCATAATGAGGCCTTTTACTTAAAAGGGCTTCTGTAAAAACAGGAACTCCAACTGAGAAGCCGAGTAATGGCATGCCCAACCGGCTTATCTCCCCCTGAGAATCGAATGGTACTCGGAAGTCCCAGTACCCGTACAACCCACCCACACCCCTACCCATTCCACAAGGCTGGGCAAAATCGATATTATGGCACACTATGCTGGGCTATTTGTGCAATGCAAATATTTGTGCAGAGCGTAATTCCCGTCTGCACGCAACCACGTGGATCGGACTTCACCAATTGGAGCTCCCCACCCGGGCGGATTGTTTATTTTCAATCAACATCGCCGGCCGGGTCGTCCGAGCAACTCAATTTATGGCCCCGGGACCGGCGATCCATAATTATTCCCTGCACTCTGTATATGTACATATGTATATTTATTTTCGTGACCACTTCATTGGCTTACATTTTGCAGCGATTCCGGGGTTTTTCAGCGATCCCAAATTCTGTCACACCGCGTAACACTCGAATGGGCACTGGCACTCTATAATCCCTCGAAACCTCTTTTATGCTGCAGCGATTGTTTATTTTTTTCACGTTTTCACTAAACGCGACCGACTTTACGATACGCCGCCTGCAACGCCTTGCCACCCACTAAAAGTCTTCAATGGGAAACATTTTGCGCGATGGCAGACAGCTTTTATGCTTTTCAGAGCTTTAGTTCTAGGTTTTAGGGGTTTGTATCCCGGATACCTTGTGAAAATCATCTGGTAGTCAGTATCAAATTCAAAATATAGTATGCTATATAATATTTCTTAAATCTTTAGGTTTAAATAAGAGCGCTGTTAGTGCATTTTCTAGCATTGTTTTATTAAGCAAAGTACAAAAATTGTAAACTCCAATATGGGATTGGAAAGTATCGTTATGTTTAGCAAATGTATAAAAAGATCAACAATTTGTCAAGTTCTATGGCTCTCTTGGGATGAGGATTGGTCTAATCCTTGCCAATATTCGCCTCAGTCTTGCGATACTCGGCCCAGTCCACAAATCCATCGTTGTTCAGATCCATGGACTTCAGAACATAGTCTATGGTTTCCTCCAGGGCCTTGTCCGTGTAAACCACTCCGGCCTTGTGCTCCTCCGGCTGCTCAGTCTGGCCCTCGGCCTGACCTTCGGCTGGCTTTTCGGTACTTTCTTTGACTAGAAAGGTAATGGGAGGGCGTTACAAACGTTTTGGGCTCACTGGGGCTGGGTTAAGTGATTAACTAAGCTCACCCGAAACCACTAATTACTTTCTTTATCTACGGTTCTACTTGATAGAGGGATTAGATGCGGTCGGCTGTGATTTGGATTTGACTTTATTCGCTAAATCGGCTTTACTTACAAAGAGTTGCATGCGTCTATATATTAGGTTTCAGTTAAAAAGATTTCCACATAGACGGGGTATTCTTCGCTTTTTTGTTGCATAGTTTCGCTTCTTTTTTTTTGTACAAAACAAACTTTTACACAATCAGTCTGTATTTTGCTGCTCTAGAGATGCGCTTAAAAATTAGTTCATATCGAAAAGTAACTAAAAATATGACAATGGAAAACAAAACGAAACAAGGCGGCTGGAATTGCACAAACCCCTTGAGAGATTCGTGATCATTATTCGAAAATGGGAATCTTTTGAAAAAGTTCTCAGAAGGACAATAAGTTTGTTCAAAGTAGTTCTCCGATGGGAATGCTTGGAGCATGTTAAGTAAATTTGATTCGAAATTATCTATAGAAGTGCGCTAAAACCGTTGACGTGGTCGACGTAATTTCAAGATGTTTTTTGGGCAGAAAACAGGAGTATGTGTAGCACGTCACAGAGCACGGGACGAGGACATGGGTATGTAAGCAAACTGAACGGATCTGGGTGACTACTAATGAACCGGCTGCTGCTGCTGCTGCTGCTGCTGTGGGTCTTGCTGCTGTTGCTGTTGCTGCTTCTCGGCGGCCTTTTGCTGCGCCTTTATGAACTCCGGATAGTCAATGTAGCCGTCGCGCGAGGTGTCGTCCATCTGCAGGATGGGATCGATGAGGGCCACCAACTCCTCGTCGGAGAAGACCTTCTCCTCCACGTGCGGCTTCTCGCCGTTCGGCTGCTCCTTGCTGCCTTGCTCTGTGTGGCAATGAGTTGTTATGGCGGATGCGAAATGGATTAGCATGAGATTCGAGCATGACCACAACCATAACCGGAAACAGCCCAGTTTAATTACGCATATGCAAAGAAGGTAGAACGGAATAGTGGGTCAAACAAAACGAAAAACAGAAACCACAAAGGCAAATCTACCCATCCAGCCAGATAAAGTAGTAGTGGTTGTCTTACCGTGCCAGTGGATCAGCGACTTGATCAGCTCACAGCCGTCCAGCTTGTTGTTGTTGTCCGAGTCGTGCATCTTGAAGTAGTGGAACTGCAGCTCAGCCTCGGACATCTTGCTCGTATCGATGGGCACCTGCATGTGCTCCTGGATATGACTGAAAGTGGGAGTAAAGGGGAATATTTTGAAAAAATACAAGTCATGGTCCTTAGTCTAAGGTTAGTCGATGTAAGTGATTGTTACCACAGAACTACTAAAAAGGCCAGAATACAACAAAAAGTTTTAGTTTCAATTATCTCTCTGAAATCGATCGTAGAAATCTCTTACAAACAATTTTACACTGAATTACAGTACAACATTTGTGACATTGAATTTATCTCATTCATTAAAAGATAATGTGTAAGTACAGAGGCCTCTTGAGGAGCTCTTTCAATTTGTTTTATGAGTATGTCAGTATGGTTAATTTACGGTCATCTTTCCCCATAATAGCAAAACTACGTTTTAGAATGGAAGTACAGCTAAATACCTCCTATCACTTTAGGTGCCATTTAGGCTTAGTCTATGACTTTTACGCCAAATTTCCCTTGATGAATGGTGATTGCCAGTGGCAGTGATAAGATAAACGGTCACTTACGCTCGCTCCTGCTGAATGTTGCCAGTGTTCAGGACCTGCTGAGGCTGGCCATGGTGGTGGCCTCCCGCCTGCTGGTGATGTCCCTGCTGGGGCTGCTGGTGATGTCCCTGCTGGGGCTGCTGTTGATGCACTTGCTGCGGCGGAGGTTGCTGATGGATCTGCTGCTGCTGCTGTTGCTGCTGCACAGGAACTTGCTGATACTGGACTGGAACCTGCTGCTGCTGCTGCACGGGCACCTGCTCATATTGCTGGGGATTGGAGGGTAGTACGGATTAGTGATCTGCAAATCGGGGTTACGTCTTCCACTCACATATTGCTGGGGAGGCACTCCGGGCGCCGAGGGAACCTGTTGCTGGTACACCGGCTGGTGGAGCTGCTGCGGCGGCGGAGGGTGATGTGGCACCTGCTGGGGCGCTTGCTGCTGTAATGCAAGTGGATTGATTAATACTCGGCTATGGGAAGGGGTTAACCCAGTTTAGTGCTCACATAGTGCTGCGGATTCACGCCGGGAGCGACGCGCTGACCACTTGCCAGGCCAATCAGGAGGACGGGCAGCAGCAGCAGCTCAACTGCCGGCAACTCGGCGACGCGCATCTGCATGGAAGTGCTGGATTCTGGCGGGGATCGGATCGGATCGGCTTGGGATCGGTATCGGTAATCAGGTAATCACCACGTCGCAAAGACAAAACACACGTACACAAATCGCTGCTTCTTCGCCGCTGGCCATTCGCAGCGGGCTACAGCTGTTGCACAGGTAACTGCGGCCATTCACCACGATGCGCGTACAGCAAAACAGTCACACTGCCTTAATATACCCTGCAAGCATTTTCTATCGCGGAAGGCACTATTAAGTGACTTCAAGAAGATGAAAACGATCGTCCGCGATATCGCATTCGGATCGCGGAAGTGACTCCCTTCGGGAAGAAATGTGCCACTTCGGCGACACTTCTCGAAGTCACTTCTGCGTTACAGACAAATCGCGCAACGAAATGACGCTTGGGCGAAAAAAAAGGAAGACCAAAAATTCTCAGAAAAACGGGGAAACGGAAATTACCGCGACCTCTTTTTATGGCTTGTTTTTCCATTAATTTTGTTTATGTAAAATGTGTACTATCGTCTTTCTATAGCGCAGAAGTGTCTCAGAAGTTACTTCTTCGCAATCCCGACCCTTTTTGTTTTTGTAAATGTGTACTATCGTCTTTCTATCGCGCAGAAGTTACTAAGAAGTGACTCCTGGACGACAGGCGATAGAAATATCGCCCTTTTGCTTGCAGGGATATTTGGCTCTTACGTTTGCTGACACTTACGTTGCTGACAATTACCTATCCGGCTAGTGTTCCAAAATTTCATACAAATATTTTCATTAAAAAAAATACCAGCAAAATATCGGTTAAAAATATTCGATATTATTTTTATTCAAAAATGTCGATATATCGTTATTTTTATATTTTAAACATGTCCATCCCTGTTCCCCTCCCTCTCTCTCTTCATTTTCAACCAGCAAATTGACTGGTTCAGCGCTGCTCAAAATAAAAAGATTTGAATACCTCGACCAGGGAAATTGCTAATAATGGTAAGAAATAAGTCACTAGATGAGATTCCACTATTGTGAATAATTAGTCATGGTTAATACTCACTAATTGCCACGGAAACCTCATCCACGTGTGACCGCCGCTCAACCTAACCCCACTTAACCCATGTTTCCCGCAATCCACAGGCTGCTGCACCCAAGGATATTGAGAAGCCCCATGGCGGCGATTCTGCCTCTGTGCACCGCATCCGCATCACCCTGACCTCCAGGAACGTGCGCTCGCTGGAGAATGTGTGCCGCGACCTGATCAACGGTGCCAAGAACCAGAACCTGCGCGTCAAGGTGAGGATTCTTTTTCCTAAAGGATCATTTTGCATTTACCTGGAGGCTTTGCGTTCACCAAAACGCTTAGCCTAGTCATTAATAAATGCCAGATAAAATGCCCGAGTCGGACATTATTCCCGCGCTTATTACCAGAGTGCGAGAATATCACATGGCTCAGGCTACAGTATCCTCTATACAATATAGAACTCCTATCTAACTCTTGTATTTTTCAATTTTCCAGGGCCCCGTGCGCATGCCGACCAAGGTTCTACGCATCACCACCCGTAAGACTCCTTGTGGTGAGGGTTCCAAGACCTGGGATCGCTTCCAGGTGGGTTTAACTAAATAGCATCTGGATAGTCCTTGTCCAATGGACAGATCTGATATCGTGGTTGGGCATCCTATCAGTCCTTCTACAGTATCTATGATTTGCCCAGAAAAAACGTGTTCTCATAGTCCACTTTGTTGGTATTTCCTCACAATTTGGCTCTCCGAATTCGACAAAAATAACAAATAGTGATGCATCATGTACGGTTCCGATATCAGTGGACGGATCTGATATCGTGGTTGGGCGATTTACCAACCTTCCCACAGTATCTTTGTGATCTGCCCAGAAAAAACGTGTTCTCATAGTCCACTTTGTTGGCACTCTTCACAATTTGGCTCGCCGAATTCGACATCAAATAATTAACAATGATGTATCACTTTAACTTTCTTATTTCCGTGCACTTATTTTCATCTGCTTCTTGTATTAATTATGTATGACATTCTTCTTTTTCCAGATGAGAATCCACAAGCGCATCATCGACTTGCACTCGCCCTCCGAGATCGTCAAGAAGATCACCTCGATCAACATCGAGCCCGGCGTAGAGGTTGAGGTCACCATCGCCAACTAGGATCGGCAGATGCCACTTTTTTACACCTCGAAAAGTTTGGCGTACAAATAAAAACAAAGAACTTTTTCCAAACACATTTGGCCAGCTTTATTGTGCGAAATCCTCTGGGGTCTACTTTACTGGAATGTAATAGTATAGTATGTTATAGTAATGGAATGCTTTAGATTGCTTAGGCAGTCGTCTAATAGTAATCTGGAACTGGGGCACAGGCGATCTTGACAAAGTCGGCATACCGCACAGTGCTATTGTTGTTCACATTGGCCTCCCGGAAGATGTTGTCCACCTCACGCATGGACAGACCCTCGCCCCAATTCTGGAGAAGATTGCGCAGCTGTCGGGCGGAGATGGTGCCCTTGTTTTGAGGATCGGCTGCCTTGAAGGCGGCGATCACCTCGTCCGGCAAACTCTCCACCTTGGAGTGCTGGTGCATAATGTCCAAGAAGTCGGCGAAGCTCATTTTGCCATTCTTTGTTTAGGTAGGAAACGTTCTTGGATGGTCGGCGAAAGACCAGAGAACGCATGATAACCTGGGTAAATGAAGAAATTTCTACCATTAGTATGTGTCTTTTTTCTGGGGTGAGAGGCCCACTTACAGTTAGTTCGTCCAAGTTGTTGATTTGGCCCGAACGGGCGAACAGATAAAAACATTCACGGAACTCTGGAGTTAAAGATAAGAAATGTTTTCGGAATGAAGTCATCAATGAGTTGTAGAAATATTTACCATCAATATCCTGTTCCTTGAAGTAACGAGCCTGGAAAAATAGTTGGGAAAATGATATAGAAAGTTGCATAAATACAAAATGGTTAATGAGGGCAGTCAAGTGGAAAGTGCTGTTATGAAAAAAGAAAGCCTTTCTTGTTGGAAGGTGTTGCCTGGACTTATCTATAACTCACCATCACTAAGGAGCCTTTATTGCACTTGCACTTAATAGAAAACAATAAATAGATAAGGTAAACAAGAGAAAATAAATAAATTAAACGAGACGTATGTAGAACTCAAACAGGTAGCAGTCAGTGTGACCAGAAATCAGTATGACCCTTTACGGCTCAAATTAAATACCACATTATCAGAAATAGTGGTAGGCGGGATTCCCGCTTTATTTTAATTTTGAAAATAAACTTTTTAAAGGTAGTTATCCGATTTTATTTAAGGGAACTCCTCATTTTAAATTTTCACGGTTTTGATTGGGCTATAAAATGATATATGTGTTCCAGATTTTTAATGGGCTGGTTAATAAAGATCAATGACGGAAGAAACTATAATCTTTATTACATTTCAACTTTCCCCCAACTTTACTACCCGGCACGATCCGTCCATCAGCCTGAAAATCATATATGTATAAATTTCACGATTTAATAACCCATTTTCATCCGAAATAAAACACAATTTTAGACTTTAAAATGTATTTACCTTGCGACACAATTACACAAGTCAGAGCACACTGTTGTATTTAAATATTAAAACAACATCATTTAGTTATTGTACAATAAAAAATATCTGCTTCCCTTTGCATACAAAAAATCTGAAACTGCACCTGATGATCTTAAAAACTAAGTACGTCCTCATCAAACAAGAAGTTATAGTATATATATGCGTGCGAGCCCCGGACGGCACCGCTTCAAATGATTTTGTGAACATCAAAACTAAGAAATACAACTTAAAGAAGCAATAGGCTAATAATTTGTGTCCAAATGTTGTAGATAGTCGAAATATTAGTTGTATTTGTGGGTTAGGTCTGTAGTTGTGGTTGGATAGTTTAAGGGCCGTTTCTGGCTAATGGGCTCTAAAGCGTTTCCGTCTCATATACACAAAATCGTAGGCATAAGTACGTCGGCACACTTGCTGGCTGGTTAATGCACGTTGATGATGGACTCGCGACCCTTTCCTACGCCCACCCAGCGCACGGGAACACTCAGCTCGCTCTCCAGGAACCGGACATAGCTCTGGGCATTCTCCGGCAGCTCCTTGAAGTTGCGTATGTGCTCGGTGGATGTCTGCCAGCCTGGCAGCACGGCGTACTCCACCTCAATGCTTCCCAGTTCGGCAATGGTGCCTGGGAAGTGGTCGAGTTTCTCGCCACTGGGCTTCTTGTAGCCCACGGCCACCTTGATCTCCGGCAACGTGTCGAGAATGTCCAGCTTGGTCAGACAGATGCAAGTGTAGCCGTTGACCAGCGACGTGTACTTCAGCAGCGGAATGTCCAGCCAGCCGCAGCGACGCTTTCGCTTGGTGGTGACCCCGATCTCGAAGCCGCGCGTCTGCAGCAAGTCGCCAATTTCCTGAAAAAAAGAGTATATTATAAGCAAAGTTATACAAAGGATTAACCAAGATTCCACTCACATTCAGCTGCTCGGTGGGGAAGGGACCGTCGCCCACTCGTGTCGTATAGGCCTTGACCACGCCAATCACCTCGCCAATCGTCTGCGGGGGCAGACCCAGACCCGTGAGAACTCCGCCAATGCTGCAGTTGCTGCTCGTCACATACGGGTACGTGCCGAAGTCAATGTCCAGCATGGCCGCGTTGGCGCCCTCGACCAGGATCGTCTTGCCGTTGCGCAAGGCGGTGTGCAGGAAACAAATGGTGTCCTTGACATAGGGACGCACCTTATCCGCGTAGTCCTTGTAGCGGGCCAGCTCCGCCTCCACGTCCACATTAATCGATGGGAACAGGCGCACGTGCGTGGCCACAATCGACTTGAACCTAATTGGGGTCAAAGAGGGCGGTTAAAATCTGGGTTCCCCGAGTTCCCCGGGCACAACTCCTCTCACTTGTCGCTAAACAGGTTGAAGTCACCGAGCAGTTCGCCCACTCGGATGCCGTTGCGAGTGGCCTTGCTGGAGTAAGCCGGACCAATGCCCTTCTTGGTGGTGCCGAGCGATTTGCCGCCCTTTTCGGCTTCCTGCATACCGTCCACATGCTGGTGAAAATCGAACACTAGGTGGGCACGATCCGAGATGATCAGCCGGTTCTCCGGAAGCTGCAGCCCCTTGGCCTCGTTCTTCAGCACCTCGTCGAACAGCGAGGGCAGATGGATGACGACGCCATTGCCTGTAAATGTCAAGCCAAAAGTTTTAGTATACGTTCTTAATTTGGGGGATTTCCCCATCTGCAGAGCAGTGCATTAAATGAGTAATAAATAACCAGCGAACTGCAGTTGGGTGTCATGTGATTGCAACGGCAGTGTGATTTACGTAAGGGGGTTCCGAAATTGGGCTCCGTAATGGCCTCTGCAATTGCCGTGAACTCATTTCGGTAATTGGAAAACTTTAAATGGGAGGCAAGTATATTTAATATAGTGTTTAAAATATTGGTTTTACAGATTTCTAACATTGTATTTATCACCTATAAAAACTAATACAATTCGACGATTGAGGTCTCAAATTCCTAAGAATGTGTTTAAAAGCTTTTATAACAGTCTTGACTAATCACCGAGAATAAGTCTTCAATACTTGGACTTTCTTTAAGGGTCCCTATAAAAAGTAATCAAGATAAGGCGTTCTTTGTTTAGCTTTAATGTCACATAAGAACCGCTAGGAAAATCGTAAGATTAAGCCGCTTTTAAAGGCTGATATCTAAATCGGGGAGAGACATTGTTGCATAACAAACAGGCAAGTTGACGAAACGGGAGTCCATGGATCCAATTTGGAAATCATAATGCCAAGGCACGCGAGCCGGCTTAACGAACGGGGTCGTTTGGAATTGAGCACCGAGCGGCTAGGAAATTAAAAATAATAAGTTAATTGCCTGATTAGAATAATTTTCCGTTACATGTGAGCCCGAGTGTGTTTGTGGCTGAGTGTCATAAACGATATCTAAACGGCAAAAGCTCTCGGGGACTTGTTATGGGGTTTCGCCGCTGGATTGGTGCGGTTCTGACTATCTCATAAATTAGTCTTGTGACAAACGATGACAGTGCGGATTGGGTTGTTGCTCTGGACAAACAGTGTCACCCACGACCACACACCCTACATGCAACATCGATTAAACTTTGACAAAGTTGCGAAAATATTGACAAACTGGCGACCTTGGCGGTGACAGTCAGTGACGTCACTCTGGCACTGGCTGACACAAAGGTAATATACATTGTATATGTATTTTCCCCGGCTCTGATTTAATTATCTCAATTGCTTATCTACAGAAATAGAATGTAGAAAACCTTTCATTTTCATGGGCATACGGTGCACCAAAGTCGAAAAACAGACCAACTGACCCGCAAGCCAATGTCAATGATGCACTAAATCTTGCCAGAAATTCCTCGCCTACATCTGCCTTTGTATATATCAGAATAATAGACATCGGAATATAGATGCATACATATATGTTTGCTCGATACGTTCAATTTCAGTTTCCCATAGAGCGAGTAAAAGCTCAAAGCAAAACAAACCGACAACAGACCGTATATTTACGAACTATACTGTATGCGAAAATTCTGTATATATATAAATTTAAAATCAAGAAAACAAAAGTGGGATGGCGTAGAGGAAAGGAATCGCTTTTTTACTTTCATTGACAAGCCTTCTCTATATATTTTCCTAACAGAAATAACGTATACTAAGGAAACTCAATAAATGTACATTATTTTTATGGATTAGGTGGGAGATACTTGGGGCAAAATCAGTTTCTAGCACATTACTGCTTATAAGTAAGAATGCTGTGCTAAAATTGTAAAGCATAAGCATTACTAGTTGGTATCTGCGTAGATTCCTAACATTTCAAACAAAAATTTTTATATATAAGATATATTCCTATACTGCCTTGAAAATATTGGAACAAATTTAATTATAAATGAGGGGAAAGATAAGTGGAATGACGCCTGCTTACTTTCAAAGACAAAAAGACAAATCATCATTTTAGAACCACAGTTCTAGCTAGCTTTCTTCTCAAAACTGCATTCATCCTTTTAGATCCTGGCTATATATTTTCCAGGTCCAGGTACTCAACTTACCGATGACGGAAACGCACTTCTCGTTCACAACTCCACTGGGCAGGAGATGAAAGTCGAACTCCGTGCCATTAGCCACCACAGTGTGTCCAGCATTATTGCCGCCCTGCGGAGAGAATATGTAGATTGAAAAATGAGCTCTACATTTTCGAGATATACAAAATATGTAGGTATAGGTGTTGATATACAAAATTAGCATTATTTGTTTTGCTTTCGCTTGTGCGGCGGCAGAGCAGAAAAACAAAGCTTGTGTGAAAAATAAATAAATATTATGGGTATATTTTGCAAATTGAATAACACATAGCCCATCGAACGGGAAATATTTGTCCCACGTGCCCAGATATAATATCAAATGACAATAAGCGAAAACGTTTCCACACATACAGATAACTACGACTATATTCACGTAAGCACTCGAGAAATTTAATGTGTTTTTCCTTTTCATTTTGGCAACTGTACAAAAAAATGTCTAAATTTTGCTAATCTAACGTAATTTTTTTTTCTATGTATATTAATACACTGTAAGATGAATACCAAAAGTGATTAGCGGCGGAAGAGTGAAAATTCTGGAACCTTCACAAATCATTGCTAAAAACCAAAAACAAGATAATCAAAATGTTTACGCGGTGCCAAGGAGAGGGCTTATGGCTTATAGTCCGGGTCTGTGATAAGATACGGGGAAATGGCGAGATCGCAATCTGGGGTTCCCGGTTTCAGTTCCTGTCCATGGCCTTTCGCGACGCAATATACGGAATTCAGAATATAGTTACAGATACAGACTATAGAATACATAATAATGTCGTAATCGGAATAGCCGTAGGGGCGTGTCAGTCGTGTGACTCAGTGCGATAATCAACTGGGGATGTTATTATATAAGGGGGCACTGATAACGCCTCTTTGATTCTGCAGAACTACTTTGATGGATAGAGCCTGCTGTTCGCGGCATATCGTCCATTGAACTGCGTAGGTGGTTCTGAGAAATCAACAAGTTGTTTGGCATAAACAATCCATTAATAACACGCAATGCCCTAATCCCGGGGATGTTGTCATTGTCGGAGTTCTGAAGAATACAGTTCGCCGGAAAGTCAGTGATTCTGCATGGGTTGCATTTCCACAGGCTCTACCACAAAGTAGAACCAAGTTTCTGGTGAATGATGTTGGCGGTTATGTAAACTTTGGCGGTCCGCCGACCGAGCAGTATGACAGGGACGGGGATAGGAATTAACGTCAGCGACGAAAGAGATGGCGAGTGAAGCGGGAAAGAGACGGCGAAGCGCAAGTGACGAATTTTGCTGCGCCAGCATTGTTGGCAGACTTGCTGACGAAATAAAAGTGCTGTTGGCAGAAGTAGCTAAAAATCCCAAGCTGGATTTTGGATATGTAGGGTAATGGGAACCTTGCACGGACGAAGCTGTTGTAGGAAAGAATTGGATAACCATTTTCTAGATAACTAAAGGTCCAATCAGAAGAAAGAACGGATACGGTAATGAATAAATTGCCTTTTCAGAATCGTGAAAAACATTATGTTCCTATTTTTTAAGGAGCAAATTTTCTTTTACCAAAAAATATTGAAGACTTCGTGAATTAAAATTAGTTAGCTTTAAAAATGTGGATTTTTGATTGCTTATTATAAACCAGAATCGCCAAAAACTGTCGTTATTGTTCATTAGACAAGTTAGATTTTCCAAATAAAAGGTCAGGAAACTATAAGTGATAGATAAAAGAGTAATCAAAATTATTCTAAAAACGTTAAGTTGAGATGATATCTTTGTTACTCTTAATACTATGTTCATAAAACATGTTGGTAAATATTAGAAGAAGCGATTCCAGTTAGGCACTTTTTGGTGAACCAATATCTGAGTTAGCCCACTATTTATTTACATATAACTTTGAAAGAAACTACTCAACTAAAAACTTAGTAAGTGGGACCTCATCTCAGCCTGATCTTGGCTTACGACACCTGCTGCATCTGGCCAGTTCCTGACCTCCGAAACAAGCCAGATGCGGCGTGAAACCCGCTGTGGGGGCAGCACTGCGGCATACACACCAACACAGGGGAACACCAGTGGAAGTGGGAAGGAGAGGGGGAGATAGGCGCACACATGCGCGCTCCGCACGAACACTTGGACAAATAGGCCCACGGACGGACACGGACGCACACAGACGCAGCCACATGGCGGGATGGCAGAATTGATAAATACAAATGGGAAAGCATGCGGCGGCGGCGGCGGCGGCCGAAAAGAGCGATAGTGTGTGGTTGGAAAAAAGGTGGCTCATCTGGTGAAATACGCAGATGCTGGGTGGCTGGGTGGGTTGTCCTTGGGCAAGGATACCGCCCGTTATCAGTGCCAGTTCGGAGCAGACTTTTTGACTTTTCCCCCTCTCGGTTATGCCCCGTTCTCACCTGACACCTGCAGACGATGTCCACATCGGAGGCCAACATGTCCACCACTTTTCCTTTGCCCTCGTCGCCCCACTGGGCGCCCAGGACGACGTCCACCTTGGACTTGTACATCTTGGTGCGGCCCTGGTGCAGCTGCTCGTAGTGCGTGCCGTTGGTGGCTGACATTTCCCCGGAGCGGAACAGAACGGATCAGATCGGATAGAATCGGATCGGAGCACGGAACACGGATCTCGGGCACTCGTAAGTCGAAGTCTCGGTCAGGTCGTCCGCGAACACGTTGTGATTATTCTCTGCTGGCTGCGCTGCACCAGCATTTGGCTATAAAACAAACAGAGGGCAGTCTGGCGCGGTAGCACGGTCCTACTGCGCGGGGGATTTGTCGCGGCCCGTCGCGAGGGTAACACTAAACGCGTTGCGTGGGTGGACACCATACGGTCTTATTTAAGCAGTTTAAAATTATATTCATTATCCGTATTTTATTTGAGGCGGAGTGATTGACATACTCTATTTTTAGGTATAAGATTTGCTCAAAGAAGCTCAAAGCTATTTGGTTTTTTAAAAGTTTATTTATTTTTTCATTTTTAGTTGAACATGTGGTATAACTTATAATGCCATTAACATTTAATCGTAGAGAGTACATGGATGTTGTATAATTTTGATCACATAAGAAAATAATAAATAAATTGCGAATATAAAAAATATTTTAATTTAACGGAAACTATCCCAGAAATCATATTCAAGAAACCGTTTTTTAGAGAGAATGCAGTTTTTGGACCATACGGTAGCACTAAAAAATTATGGTCTTACTTCAGCGATCAGCTGTTTGCGACCGCATTATTTTGTTTATTTAATTTTACCATGTCGGAATCCGAAGAAAAGTGTCATTTGTAAGTAATTAGGCAGATTTATATAGAAAAACCTTCTAAAATATTTAATCTCTTTCAGCTGTCGGGAAGTGCCCTTCAAGTACACCTGCCCCAAGTGCAATGCTCTTTACTGCAGTGTGGGATGCTACAAATCCAAGGAGCACCTAAAATGCTCCGAGGAGTTCTACAAGTCCTGCATTCAGGACGAACTGTCCGGAGCCAAGGCGACGCAAGAAAGCCAGGAGGACGTGAGGAAAATATACGACATATTGAAAAGGATGCGGGAAACGGACAATGGCTTCTGTCCCCAGGATTTTGATAATGATGGGTTGGAAAATCCTTTGGATTCGGACGGAGATGAAGGAGAGGCAGAAGAAGACGACGGGGAAGAGGAGATTCCCGGAGAGGAAGATCTACTTGAAGACGTCGAAGAAGACATAGCTGCCCGACTAAAGGGCGTCGATATCAACGATGCAGATGAGGTTTGGAGCCGGCTAACCACGGAGGAGCAAGAGGAGTTCCAAAAACTAATCACGAACGGTGACATCATGAAGCTCATGCCGGACTACAAGCCTTGGTGGATTAAACCAAAGAATTCCAAGATTGTAGTGATTCCCACACCCGAAGAGGCTGCCAAGAAACAGAGCTCTGCGCCCGAAATATATGGCAATATTGCCAAGTTCTCCGACATTTGTAAAAAGACTCCGTCGCCTTGCCTGCACTTCAATTTGTGGAACATCCTGAGCGCCTACTCCTGTGTGGCTCGCTTTTTTGGCGGCGAACAGAGAACAACTGCCAGCGAAGCAGTGGCCCATCTTGTTAATCTCAGCGCCACCTTAAAGTACGGCACCAACTTCGAGGATGCCGAGGACGCCATTGTTTCCGTCGAAATGGAGGCCATCACCACGGGCAATGGTCCTGCGGGAGCGGCAGCCGTGGGAAGTGCGGGAGCAGGCGCGAACTTCCTCGTGGAAAGCCGGGAGCAACTGCAGCAGGATGCCCGCCAGTTGATGGCTACGAAGGATCACAAATTGGCCGCCCTCAGCGATGTGCTCCACCTCCTACAGCAGACAAAGGCAATGAGCCGGCGGAAGAATCCCCAGGAAGCCGAGTTCCAGAAACTATTTGCCCTGGCCAGCGGAAGTGTGGAGCTGGATCGTACAAAACTGGCCCAGATTGTGCGGAAGATCGAGTTCATGCTGTCGTATGTGGCGCGGGAAGAGGTCCTTTGAGATTTCCGTCAGAATATAAATTTTCAAATTCCATACGCTTGTGTTTCTTCTCCCGGTTTTTCTGGCCTCCAAAATGGAAGGGGTCTTCGACCTTTTACTGCAGCCTTTTCTGCACATATTTGTAAGTAGTAAGATAAATGTTGGAAGTATTGTTTTTTAAATATTTGACAACTGCTCAAAAAGTAATTTAATTTTCGATTGAATAAAACATTTTCTTTGCTTATCAAAATAATGCAACATTTTAAAAAGTTTTTTAAACGTCAAAAATTTGTGGGTTTTGCCCCACCCCAACCTATTCAGTGAACATTTTCAAAAAATGGTCACCCTAATATTAAAATAAATTATTTCTTTTAGGGGTTTTATGCTTTTGTACGCTACTTTAAGTCAAATAGAAAATGTTTAATACATCTACACTTAAAAAAATTAACTTTAATTTAAATTTAATCCTGGTATATTTGTGGTATTTTTAAGAAAAGTATTTTTCTCCTCCCAGCTTGGTATACTCCAACGTCTACCGCACGGTCACACCGCACATAGTTTTTTTAGTTTTTGGCGATTCCAGACACACACTCGAGTTGTAGTGCTTTTTTACGCTATTTTGTTATTTGGTAGGTGGTCGCTCTACTTCGGAATTACCTGTCAAAAAAGACAACTACGGGCATTATTTGACAGCGATTTAAAATGCAGTGCAGCTGCAGCAGCAACAACAACAAAAGCGATCGCAATTTAGAACATTTCGTGTAAACGCGTTTGGGTGTAGCGGAATTTCGCTTCCCAGTGTGCCTGTGTGTGTGTGAGTGCGCCCCGAGAGTGTGTGCTTGTGTGCGTGTCGGTGTGCGTCTGGCAACAACAAAAATCCAATCGGCCAGCAAGTGCTCTTCGTACGCTTCGCCTGCTAAAAATTAGTGCAAAGCGAACCATTTTAATCGTAGCAGCACCCTAAAACCTTATGTAAGGTGTACTGGAAAACGATGCAAATATTTACAGTTAAACGGGCCAGAGAGACAAGTTCAATCTCAAAGATAAACGAGTTTCGTAGAGGTGGGATGAATTGGTTAGGGGGAGGGGGTTCTTATCGCTCAAGTGTGCGACGTGTTAGCTTAGCTGGTGTGCGTGAGTGTGTGTCTGTGTGAGCCGTAAAGTTGCTTATCTATCTCCACAAATATGCGAAGTATGCGTCAACCTGTTTGTAAACTTTCTGTTGGCCATTTCCACACTCACGAAACACGAAAATCGCAAAGAGCCGCGATTTTACATTTATTATTTATAGCCGATGATGAGGAAAACCCGTAAGCGCATCGTATATGCCGATGACGCCCAAATCAAGTCAACCCAACAGATTCAAGATTCCATACTCGTCATCAATCGCAGAGAGTTTTTGTGTGGCGATGATTAAATGCCACCTACTATTATTATGTTCATATGTATGCACATATAACCGGTCAATGTCTGCTGATAACATAACCGTTATACGATTATGCGGGTGTGTGCGTGGAACTTAAACCGACTGCATTGTTTACGAACAGCTGATGCAGGGAAACTCCCCTGATAAGATACCCAGTTTTCCCACCGGAAAGTAAAAAAAAATAATACCCTACACAGAAGTGAAAACTGATAGGGCACGTAACTAATTTGACAATTTAAGGAACAGATAACACACGGTTCTTTGCATTTAAATTTGATAGTGATAAATCATTTAAATAATAAAATTTTAACTCCCTTGATAAGATAACCAACTTTCCCTCTGAAAAGCATAAAACATAAACCTACACGGAAAGAAAATTACAATGATATAATGAGAAGACTGAGTATATTTATTAAAGAATAGAATGAATACAATATGATGATGTGGGATATAAAACATGCTTTATTGATTTATTTGGTAGCAAACTAAAAAAAATTATAATAATATGCCGAAATACCTTATTTACATTTTAATATGATATCAAAATCAACGTGTTTCTCTGTGTGCAATACACATTCCTTAAGTTTCGCAATGAGTCAGGGGTGATAAGTCCATTTTTTATCAATGGGGACACTCGGCAAAGCCCCCAAGAAATAGGGTCGTTGATAAAGCTCCAATAATTAAAGTTCTACCTGTTGCACCAATGTCCAGAAATTCCTTAATCGAAACAAATTAGGCAAACAATTAATTTACTCGGGGCTCTTCTCTTTTGGGTATGGTATAATGTTTAACAAACGATTTGTTGGCCCAAGATAAACACTACGAAAATACAAGTTTGCTTATAAACAAAGAGCCTTTTTGTTGTTGCTGTTACTGCCGCTGTGTGGATGTTGTTTATGGCGGCAGCGTCTATTTACGTAACCAAAACTCATATTTTATGATTATTGCGCTTAAGCCCGGCGTGTGTGTGATTGATTAATATCGATTGGAACCCACAGGAAATGTCCCACCACAGCGATGATCAGCTCCTGCAGGCTGGAAGCGAATCTTTCTGGGAGCCCGGAAACTATAAACGCACCACCAAGCGCATTGAGGATGGATACAAGTGAGTGGATAGTCCCCAGGGAGTCTAAATGCACAGAGAAAAAACCCAACGTCACTTATGTCATACAAATTTCGTCATATCATTATTTATAGCATTTTGTTTGTTTTATTAACGTTTGTTGAATACCAATTGATCGAACTTAACATTTCAATATATTCAGTAGGTCATGAAATTTCATCAAATTGTGTGTGAAGAGAATAGGAAACAAAAGGGACCATTTATAACAGCATGATTGGTATTAATACCCTATATTGTTTTCGAGATACGTTTTCATTTGTAATGTTATTGCATAGGCTTAAAATTATTTGTATTGCCTACATTTGGATACTAAATAGAATGAGTTTTTTTAGTAAACTACGGAATTAATAGTTTTTATCTGTGCATTAAGACTTGGACCTGTGGGTCATTGCCAGCTGAATCCATCGGAACTCGAACCCAAATCCAAACCGGTTTGCATTATTATGATTTTTGTCTCATTTCGCCCGCAGACTCTGCAATGACCTACAGCAACTGATACAGGAGCGTGCCGAAATCGAGAAGGGATATGCGAAAAGTTTGCGCACCTGGTCAAAGAAATGGGGTGAACTCATTGAGAAAGGTGAGTGAGAAGCGGGTGGGCGGTGGTCATGAGGCAACATCTGTCATGTAAGCCTGCTATTTGTTAACACATTCATTCACGAGCTTTGAGCCCAGTGGAGCATCAAGTGACCCGCTCAC